TTCGTTCTCAGCCGAATAATGATTTCCCATATCTTTTCATTCATTTTTCTTTCTTAAATTTCTCTTTTGTTGCTGCCAACATCTTGTTCTCACATTTCATTTTGTTCTCCAATTAACAAAAGTGCAACATTTACATTACAACACAAAGGGCAGCCAGCCAGGCAGACAGACAGACTTTTTTCTTATGGTCATTACACCATTTCCCATTGCATTTACCCGCTTACTCACACCCTTCGGTTACTTTACGTTAAAACTATCCGGAACCTGAAACAGTAGCAACGGACATTAACCCACAATTATATACGCATAACTTTTTTTGGAAGTGAAAGAAAAAATGAATGCAACGAAAACAAACTTCCAAACTATCAACCGTAACTGTCTAGAACAGCAGGCTATGGCCAGAACTTGAAATGGAAAAATTCATAAAATTTTAACACGTAAAGGACATCGTGTACATCAGAACTGCAAATGAGGTTAAAACTTAAACCAAATGACAACTATCCCATGACAGAAACTTTTCCTGGTGATGCATGGTTTGCTTGGGATTTTTTCTTTTTTTATAAAACAGACAAGTTTAAGATTTTTTTAATAGAAAGTATTGAAAACATTACAGAATTTTTATCAATTTAAGAAGTAAGGGCAAATTCTATTTTTGTAAAATGATGTGAGTTTTTTCTTAGAGCATCTTAATAAGAAGATTCGAAACTCCACCCAGAGGCTGCAAGAAATATGGAAGGACGCGAAATAGACACATAGTTACTTTTCAGGATCTTCATAGAATCACTTTCTGAGTTTGGTTTAGTTATAGCTATAGCTCCCATATATATGTTTCATCCGATTTGGCCCCTCACATGCGTAATATGCACTCCACAATAATAATTTGGAGAAAATCGGTTCAGATATAGCTATAGCTCTCATATATATGTTTCATCCGATTTGGGGGTTTCAGCCACGCACATGCGTAATGTGCACTCCACAACAATTATATTGAACTAGCTGGACCCAGCGCGCTTCGCTACTCCTTTCGCTTTTATATGCATTAATCATTTTATCTATGAATATTTGTTGGTTAAAAATATAAATAAAACAAATTCAAATATTTTAAAAACATTATTATGTTGTTGCAAAATGGCCAGGCCAAAACGTTATTATTGTAATACTTTAATGCGTTACCAAACAAATAGCTCGGTCTTTCAACGCGTGAACATGCCAGGAAAAAAGCTTGAGAAAAGCAGGAACATGCTAAATTTAGTCCGCATACACGAAGGGATTGTCCTTCAGATTTATTAATTTCATAGCAAATGCCAAGGTTGCTGGAAACTGCAATCTTTTGAAGTTAGAGAATTCGAGGTAGAAACATACTTTCCAGTAATAATCATACCCTCAATTAAATTTTTGTGTAGTATGGAGGGTATATAAAGTTTGTCATTCCGTTTGTAACACCTTGAAATATACATTTTAGACCCCACAAAGTATATATATTCTTGATCAGCATAAAATTCTATGTTGATTTAGCGATGTCCATCCGTCTTCCGAACGAAATAAAGTAGGTTGAGAAAATTTTACTCAAATGTATATTATGTCTGCAGGACATTTGGTATTGAAAATGGACCATGTAGGTTCACGTTTGGTACAGCCCCCATATAACGGTACCTCCCGATAGTCGGTACTTTGATAATTTTAGAGACATTATTCACCGGAATTGGTTCAAATTTGGTATTTCAAGTTCGAAATACATACTAAAGCCTATGACAAAAGATTGTCTGTGCAGCTCCACGTCTTCGTATACATTCGTTTTTTTTAAGATTTTAAAACCATTTTTAACGGATTTCATTTCTTTGAAAATTGTTAAATTCGTTCCAAATGGTGGAACGCTTTTTTACTTGTTTACTGTTAGCCTTATACCATTGCAAAGGCCTTGGAGGTACATACCGTGTTTGGTGCATAAAATACGTGAACCAAAAAATATATATATGGGAGATGTATCCAAACCTCAACCGATTTCAATATAATTTGGCAAATTTATATTTGTACCAAATTACCAAATACCGATACATACGTATCGTGTTTGGTGCATCAAATATATGAAATCAGACGAAAATATATATGGGAGCTATATCCAAATCTGAACCGATTTCAATATAATTTAACAAATTTATTTTCTGATCAAATCCCGTCACAAATTTCAAATTTCATAGAAATCGAACATACACAGCGTTTTTAATGCATCAAATACATGAAATCGGGCGAAAATATATATTAGAGCTATATCCAAATCTGAACCGATTTCCATAAAAAATTAAATATAATAATATAATATAATATAATATAATATAATATAATATAATAATATAATATAATATAATATAATATAATATAATATAATATAATATAATATAATATAATATAATATAATATAATATAATATATATATAATATAATATATATAATATAATATAATATATATAATATAATATAATATAATATAATATAATATAATATAATATAATATAATATAATATAATATAATATAATATAATATAATATAATAATATAATATAATATAATATAATATAATATAATATAATATAATATATATAATATAATATAATATAATATAATTAATATAATAATATAATATAATATAATATAATATAATATAATATAATAATATAATATAATATAATATAATATAATATAATATAATATAATATAATATAATATAATATAATATAATATAATATAATATAATATAATATAATATAATATAATATAATATAATATAATATAATATAATATAATATAATATAATATAATATAATATAATATATATATAATATAATATAATATAATATAATATAATATAATATAATATAATATAATATAATATAATATAATATAATATAATATAATATAATATATATAATATAATATAATATAATATAATATAATATAATATAATATAATATAATATAATATAATATAATATAATATAATATAATATAATATAATATAATATAATATAATATAATATAATATAATATAATATAATATAATATAATATATATATAATATAATATAATATAATATAATATAATATAATATAATATAATATAATATAATATAATATAATATAATATAATATAATATAATATAATATAATATAATATAATATAATATAATATAATATAATATAATATAATATAATAATATAATATATATATATATAATATATATAATATAATATAATATAATATATATAATATAATATAATATAATATAATATATATAATATATATAATATAATATAATATAATATAATATAATATAATATAATATAATATAATATAATATAATATAATATAATATAATATAATATATATAATATAATATAATATATATAATATAATATAATATAATATAATATAATATAATATAATATAATATAATATAATATATATAATATAATATAATATAATAGAATATAATATATATAATATAATATAATATAATATAATATAATTAATATAATATAATATAATATAATATAATATAATATAATATAATATAATATAATATAATATAATATAATAATATATATAATATATATATAATATAATATAATATAATATAATATATATAATATAATATATATAATATAATATAATATAATATATATAATATAATATAATATAATATAATATAATATAATATAATATAATATATATAATAAAATATATTTTCTAATCAAATCGATCAATAGATATGTGCATATAAAATCCAAATTTTTGGGAGGTACCTCCGATTCTGAAGCTTTATCTCCAGTCCCGAGTGGAATTTCAAAAATATATATGGAAATTTTCAGGAAAATCTGTTCAGCGGTTTTCGAGTCCATTAATTACAAACAAACAAACAAACGTACAAACATTTTCCTCTTTTATAGATATAGTTACCGGGCAACAGATACTGCTCAAAAATTGCCTCTGCCAAATTTTATTGAGATCGGTTCAGATTTTTATATAGTCTCGATATACATCTTCATCCGACTTTACGGTCATATATGTGTAATACATCCCAAATTGAATAGATTTTTGCATATTCAACCGAAACTCCGTCCGGTATACTTATTGCTCAAATAAATATTTTTTATATAATTCCTATCGAAGTCATATCATGCACTATACAGAAATGTTGATAAAATTCTGTAGTGTCACATTAAGAAATCAGTATCAGTCTAAGCTTGAACTGTTTGATGGAGAGCGCAGAAGATGTACTCCATATATTTTGAATTGGTCATGAGGCTTTTTAAAAAATAAAATCTAGTCGCGACTGACATTCTTTCGATAGACAACCTAGTATTGATAATTCTGAATGTAAAAATCAACATCTTGTGACAGAGAATTCGAAGATGTCCTTCCATTAATTTGACTTCCCAATAATCAATTGCTGTTTGTAAAATATCTTGAAGTCGAATTTGGCAGATTCTTGATATGTACGGAAAAGTAACTTTGCTTCCGTTTAGATTTTCTAGATGTATAAACCTTGCAAGATTGACTTTTCGATACGAATTTTTTCCGAATTTAACACATCCTTAACCCCATCACAGTGACGGTACTATACGGTTCAACTTTCAGTCGAAGCAAGCCAAAATTAGTAGGAGCGAATTTAAAAAAAAAAAACGAAAACAAATTCGTGTTAAATACTGTTAATCAAATGGTCGATTAACATGTCAAAAACGTCTAAGAAAACCTTAGTAGACTTCGGTGTTGGGAATAAAAAACAACATTTGGTTTTGGTCGATTATTATGACTATCGCCGTTTATTGGCGTCAGTCAAACTGTTCCTATTCCATGGTTGAAGAATTAAGATTGGGTTTTACTTCATCCAATTTTTCTCAATTAGTAAGGTAGTTGTTACTTCAAATAGTTTTTTTCACCAACAATTTGTCTTCTAAACAATTATCTAAATTATTGCTAATTCTGTATACATTATATTTTCAGATATCGTTTCACACAAATTGCAGTGGATCCACAAATCAAAACGCCGGGTGGCAAAACTTATGATGTGATATTTGTCGGAACAGGTAAATGAACTCAGTTCCTATCAGTAGTTCGGATCGAATGAGTAACATGAATATTGAAAATGTTTCGCATACGCCACACATATATCTACGATAACACAATATTTCTTCTTCTTTCACCACAGATCATGGTAAAATTATAAAATCTGTAAATGCCGATTCCGCAGACTCCGAGAAAAAAGTAACTTCAGTGGTAATAGAAGAAATCGATGTTCTACCAAAAAGTGAACCAATACGTAATTTAAAAATTGTGCGCACAATGCAATATGGTATGTAAACACCCACTGGATCGTTAACTGTTCTCCCCGTATACCAGTGTCATCCGATTAGGACTGACACATGTAGAAAAATGAACAATTCTAAAATTGTATTCAATGTAAATACTTTCAGATCAACCCAAAGATGGCAGCTATGATGACGGCAAATTAATCATTGTCACTGATAGTCAGGTTATTGCCATACAATTGCATCGTTGTCACAACGATAAAATCACCAGTTGCAGGTGAGTTTCGCTTCGTGATTTTGTCGTTTCTATTTTTTTCTTATTTTTTGTTTTCGAACAAAGAACAACAAAAAAACATGGGCAAACATTTATTATTCGCGAAATGTTCTGCCAGTGCCACATTGCTCAGTTTTATTTCAGTATTTTTTGTCTATGCATGATATTTGAGCTCTTATATGTGATAGTCATGGGATGAAAATATATTTGCATTCATATTATAGCTTCCATCGTCGAGCACGTTGCAAATTTGAAAAATGCAATTCAGTCCATAACATGTGGTAGTCTGTAAATATGTTGGATTTATTATAAAATATTTGGTCGAAAAATATTGATAGAAAAGATTTTTTGGGCTTTTTCTTTCGCCCTAAGGCATCTTTTTATATTTTTAGTCACTATATTTCTAAATCTGGTATTTGATAGTACCTTGGCGGCGCTCAATGACAATTTGTATTCCTGTCAGTTTCCTCGGCTCCGACCCACAGTGGCTTAGAGATCAATTTTACCAGCTACATTATTAAACATCATCAATTTCATAAATATTGTTGTGATTTGATAATAAAACTAAAACTCCAATATTATCAATAATAATTTTATAAAAACCATACTGAAACAAAGCCTGACTATGTTGAAATGACGAAAAATCTACGGCATGCCTACACACTTTATTTTTTTTTTTTTTTTTTTAATAAAAAGCCTTTTTTGTAAATTTCTTAAAAAGGAAGTTGCCATTTTCCGTAATTAATCCTATTTTTAATGTAATTTTTATGTAATTTGTTTGTAAAATGCAAAAGGAAATATGATAGACGCAAAAGACTTTTTTGATGATCTTCATAGAATTACATTCTGAATCGACTTTTCGACTTTTCCGTCCGTCTGTCCATGCATATTTGCAAGCAAAAAGCAGGTCGTATTGTTTGATTGTGATGAATTTTTGCACACATCATTGGTTTGGCCAAAGGACGAACGCTATTGAAATAATTATGATAATCGGTCTAGATTTAGATGTAGTTCCCATATATATATTCGTCCAATTTCAGGTTTATAGTATATACGATCGAACTTTGTCTATAAATATGTATGTTAAATTTGGTCAAAATCTGATCAGATTTATATATAGCTATATATGTTTTATCCGATTTCATATTTAAGTCCTCCACATCCGTAATATTCACTTCATAACAATGATATACCGTACAAGATATCAGCTTAAATGGCTGGAATATGCAGAGACTACCAAATTTATACTACAACTAGCTGAACCCGGTGCGCTTCGCTGCCCCTTTTGATTTAATATGCATTCAAAATTTTATTAACGAATATATGTTGGATAAAAAAAAAACAAATTTAAAAATTAAAAAAAAAAAAAATTCACTGCTTTAATGCGTTAATAAACAAAACCATTAGAAAAGCAGTAACATGACATGCATACACGAAGGCTTAGTCCTTTGGATTTATTTATTTTATAGCAAATACCAAACTGCAATTTGAAGGACACTGCAATGTGCAGGAAACTGCAATTTTTTGAGTTGAGTGGCATTTTTATAGCAATTAGTGAATTCGAGGTAGCAACATACTTCCCCGTAATAAGCGTATTTTAAATTAATTGTTGCGTTGTTTCTTAGTTTTAGCCTAAGATGTTGTGGGTCAATGGTTCCTATTAAAATCATATCCCAATCTGATCCGATTTAAATATAATTTTAAAAGAATTACTTTTACACCAAATTCCGCCGCAACTTTCATATTTCATTGAAATTGGTGCGTCAAATATGTGAAATCGGCCGAGAATATATATACGTGAGCTATATCCAAATCTTAAATAATTTCCAATTAATTTATCACATTTATTATTATAACCAAATTCCGCCACACATTCTGAATTTCAGAATCGGTCATATATATCGTGTTTGGTGCATAACATGTATGAAGTCGGCCGAAATATATATGTATGGGAGCTATAATCAAATCTGAGCGAATTTGAAAATAATTTGTCAAATTTATTTTTATACCCTCCACCATGGGTAGGAGGGTATATTAACTTTGTCATTCCGTTTGTAACACCTCTAAATATTCGTCGTAGACCCCATAAAGTATATATATTCATAATCAGCATAAAATTCTAAGACGATTTAGCGATGTCCGTCTGTCTGTCTGTCCGTCTGTCTGTCTGTCTGTCTGTCCGTCTGTCTGTCTGTCTGTTGAAATCACGATAGAGCCCACATTATTTGATGTAGACCTTTGAAATTTGGCACAAGTGTGTGTATTGTCCCTAGGATGGTTGGTATTGAAAATGAGATATATCGGTCCACGTTCTGGTATAGTCCCCATATAACGGTACCTCCCAATATTCGGTATTTTGATGATTTATGCCACATTTTTTCACGGATTTATCTGAAAATTGGTATTTGTAGGTCATGACGGGTCCCTGAGCGTGTGGCAAAACATTGCATGTATAGGTCCACGTTTTGGTATAGCCCCCATATAACGGTACTTACCGATATTCGGTATTTTGATGATTTATGCCACATTTTTTCACGGATTTGTCTGAAAATTGGTATTTGTAGGTCACAACGGGTCCCTGAGCGTGTGGCAAAACATTCCATGTATAGGTCCACGTTCTGGTATAGTCCCCATATAACGGTACCTCCCGATATTCGGTATTTTGATGATTTATGCCACATTTTTTCACTGATTTGTGTAAAAGTTGGTATTTGTGGGTCATAATGGGTCCTAGTTCGTGTGGCGAAACATTGTAATTATAGGTGCACGTGTTGGTGTAGCCCCTATATAACGGTACCTCCCGATATTCGGCATTTTAATGTTTTTTGCCACATTTCTTCTAATGTTCTTTTACCCTAGGGTGGAGGGTATTAAAAGTTTGGCCCGGCCGAACTTATTGTTTTTTTACTTGTTGTACCAAATTTAGTCACTCATGGCGAATTTCATTGGAATCGAAAATACGTATCGTGTTTTGTGCATCAAATATGTGACATCGGCGGAAAATATATATGGGAGCTATCTCCAAATCTGAGCCGATTTTAATATAATTTGACTAATTTATTTTCTAATTAAAATCCCGTCACACAGTCCCAATTTAATTGGAATCGAACATACATATCGTGTTTGGTGCATCAAATAAACGAAATCGGTTGAAGATATATATGGGAGCTATATCCAAATCTTAACCGATTTCAATATAATTTGACAAATGTATATTCGTTTTAATTTCCGCTACACATTCCAAATTTTATTGAAATTAGAGATACATGGCGTGTTTGGTGCATCAAATGCTTGAAATCGGCGAAAATATATTTGGGAGCTATATCCAAATCTGAACCGATTTGAATATAATTTGGCAAATTTATTTTTTTTCCAAATTCCGTTACGCATTCCAAATTTGGAGACTGTATCTGTAATCGATCAACAGATATGTGCATACAAAATCTAAATTTTTGGGGGTACCTACGATTCTGATGCTATATCTCCACTTCCAAGTGGAATTTCAAAAATGTATATAGCCTATGTTACTTTCGAAATTTTTTCGAAACTTCTCAATGTGCACATTCTGTTGATTCTACCTGTCATATCTATTCACTGTGTACTAAATACTTTGTACATACTTTTGAGTGTGGGTGAGGCTCTGGAAAAATTAAAAATGAACATTTCAAACTGATCTGATTCTGTGTACAATTCAGTTCCATACGATAATGTGTAAGATAATAAAGATCATGATCTAAACACACAATATCGATGCGCCAGTTATGAGACAAGACCACTTGAATGAAGGGACAGGTAGCCATGTGATGTTCCCTATTAAATTTTATAACATTGGATTAAGTTAGAATAGTTTTTGTAGCACTTAAAAAAATAAAATTAAATAAAATTCAGAATTGAAATAACACCCTAACGAAGCGGTCGTGCTTCCTTACTCGCCCTTTTTCAAACGACGGATTATGGATGGCTAATTATCGTAATTAATGGGCAAGACTTTTTTATATATTATATATTTCTTAAAAAATATCTGTATTGTATATTTTTAATTCCACTTACTTTCTTTTCTCCCTCTCTCTTTCTCTCTCGTCCAATACAGCGAATGCGTGGCTCTACAAGATCCATACTGTGCCTGGGATAAAATTGCTGGCAAATGTCGTTCCCATGGTGCACCACGATGGCTTGAGGAGAACTATTATTATCAAAATGTCACAACTGGTCAACATGCTGCATGCCCCTCAGGTTGGTATCAAACAACATTTATACTCCAAAATCATCATTTCCAGCATTGAAAATAATTGTAGGGGTGGGTGGTGGTGGCGTTTTAACATTTTAAACACATGTACCAAGGATAAATATGATTATTGTAAACTGTGTACTAGTCGATGGTGTGTACAAATGTTGTTAACCTTTGGTTGAATTTGTTAGTATTATTGTTATTGTTGCTTTGCAAATATCTGCACATTGATGCATATGTTGCAGGCAAATGCTATGGCTATTTAAAAAAAGAAACAACAAACCTTTACTGCAGGCTCCCAGTATATTTGTTTGTACTCCTTGTTATATACATCATTCCGATGGTGTTTTCCAGTATAGCCAGCATTCACTGCTGTCCTCATCATCATCACCATCACCATCGTCGTCACCAACACCGACACCAGCAGCATGCATTTCAAACAAAAACAAAACGAAGATATTGTAAATTGCTATCTTTGCTATGTTGTTCTCCTTCACACACACACACACAGTCACTAATTTGTGAGAAAGATCTGCGTTTACAAATGTATCACCCGGACACACATACATCTGTGTGTCCGGGTATGCGATGTTGCATTTTGGTTACATTGTTGTAATAAAAATTTCATGTGTAATTGGAGATTTGGATTATTGCCAAAAGTGAAAATTGCAATTTGTTTTGGTAGTATTGCTGGTGTCTCGGCTTGGGCCACTGCCTCACATGAGCCATTCTTGTTGTCTGTTCGAAACTCTCACATCACCAGCAACGTTTTACTTGTTGTTGATTTTTTTCTGGACACTTTTGTGTTTAATATCTCAGCTATCTTCCTGCGAACCTATCCTTCTTTTCACGACTCCACCGACTCACATTTTTGTCCTTTAACAAGATTTGTACTCCACATGTATTATTAATGTAATTCAATTTTTGGCTATCGCTATGTATTATCATACCGATGGAGAAGGAGAACGTGGCCAGAGCGGGCACAAGAGACACAAATGTCTCTTAAATGCCGACACAGGGGTTAAGTTGAAAAGTTCAAGATAAAAATCTCGTTTCGTTATAGGAAAAAAAACAAAAAATTCGTTTCGCTCGGTCTGGTCTGGTGTGGTCTGCTAACAAAAACAATGAAGGTAGATGAATGAGTTTTGCAACATATGGCTTGCAGAAAAATATTACACACTTGGTTGCATCTTTTGAGAAATTAAGGTAATTTAAAAGATTATCTTTTGCAAAGTCTAAGAGAGCAGGGATATAAATGGATGTCAACATTAGAAATGTGTCTGGGATAAAATATTAGCCTTAATATGTGATAGCCATTTTGAACATTAAACCCAAACGAGGATGCCAAGGAAATGAAAATATATAGGGTTGATAGTTTCAGTGGAATATATGTAGATTTTTGGAAATAAAACGGGTTTATATTTTTAATTCAGCAAAAATATAACGTAATTGTTTCTTTTTTGTTACGGCCATCAATTTAAGTACCTACATTACATACTTTCCTCATTACAAGGTAGTAGAAATGACATATCATCTACATAGCCAGTATGTAGATTGTAGTATACCATCGAAGAACATGATTTTCCCATACGAACCATATCACTCACCTTATACATGACATTATAATATTTTTGAAATTTTATAACTATTACTTTTCTAGGTAAAATAAATTCAAAAGACGCCAATGTTGGCGAACAAAAAGGCTATCGAGATGATATGGGCTTATTGGATCAACGCCGCCAAAGCAAAGATCATGAAGTAATCAATTTGCAGGACAAAAATTTCGAGGGTATGTATTAAATATCTCTGTGCAATTTGAATGTTTTAAGTGTTGTTTAAATATAAATATTACATATTTTAATTTTCGTTCAGTGTTGAAAGCATTTTCTTATGTTAATTGCATGCCTATTTGTTTTATGTTTATATTTATGTTGCTTTGAGAGATTTTCCTACTTATAAGAACGTGAAGATCGCAATAAGCATTGCCTATTAAATCGTTAACTATCTATAGCATAGATGAAGAATCGAAAAATATCCAAGTCGTACTAGGTTCCACGGACTTTTTGGATTATAATCTTATAAAGGTCGCAGTCGAATCTGATTTTTTTTATCAGGTTTCGCTGTCTTTTTAGTCTTGGACTCCAGTATGACAGCCGGGGACTATCTTCGGATTTACCCTTGAATGACATGTTTTTATACATCTTCACCATATTATGGTTCGTCATTCCGATTGTAACTCCTCGAAAATACCATTTAAACCCCACAAAGTATATACACCCTTGATCAGCATAAAATTCTAAGTCAATTTAGCCATTTATGACGGTGAATGAAGTAAGTTGATTAAATTTTTATCAAATGTAGAATCTTTGGCATTGAAAATAGGTCCATGCTGGGGCACGCTTTCGCATAGCCCCCATATAACGGTACCGCCAGATTGAAGGTTTTAGTCATAGTCCTTTCAAGAACTTTTCCCATATAACGGACCCTCCCTATATATTAGGAATTTCGAATTGCTTAGCCATTGTTTCAACGTTGGAGTTTGGAGTTCACAATAAACAGGGTGAGATAAAGAAACTGCAACAACGTCAAACACCATCATTTTTAAATTTGTTTTTAAATATTATTAAATGAAAGCAAAAAATGTCGGAAATAGCATCAAATTTTAGAAGAAGTTTAGATTTGTTCGAATTTGTCACCTTTGGCACGAATTATGGCCTTCAAACGGCGAATGAAACCGTCACACGCTGCCCGAATCTTGATCTGCGGTATTTTGGCCCATTTCCGGCGAAGCGCTTGCTTGGGGTGATCGACACTTTGGTATTTTTAGTGCCAACCTTGCTTTCCAAAATACTCCAGACACAATATAATCCAACGGATTGGTATCCGGAGATTTTGTCGCTGGAAATTAAGCGAGGAATCTCATTTTGTAACCATTCTTGGGTGGCGGGTGCTGAGTGCGATGGTGCTGAGTACTCTTGGAATGTCCAAGGTATGCGGTCAAAATGTTTGTGTGCCCAAGGCTTTAATACACACTCCAGAATATTTTCGCGATAATATTCGGCATTTATTATGATGCCACGATTAATACGAGCGGAGAGCGACCATCGGCTGTTATGGCGGTCCACACCATCACCATAGCTGGAGCTTGAGTTCTGGTGGCCAACCGAAGGTGCACATTTTCAGCTGACCTCCTTGTCAAGTAAACACGTTAATTTTGTTTGTTCACAAACTGCTGGACAACGAATGTTTTCTCATCGGAGAAAACCAAATTCAGCAATTCACCACTTTCGGCCAACCGAAGCAACTCCTTACCTCTTTTGAGTCTATTTTCATTCTGTTGCGGTGTAAGTTCTTGCACTTTTTGGAATTCTAATGGCTTTACTTCGAGCTATCACGCTTGAATTTCATCACGAATAACTTTTTTCCTGGAAAATTCTCACCAAAATGCTTTTGTGCGCTTGTAAATCATATAATGAGCTGTCACTGGAATAATTTTAACATCTCCCGGGCGAGTGGCTTAGAAATGACAGCAGTCTGAAGTTGATTGCAGTTTTTTGATCTTACCCTGTATATATACCTAAAGATCTATATAAAGTCAACTTCCAAAATATAGTATTACAAGATCTATTCAACAAAATGTCTACAAATATGAATATATTTTCAAAATTGTTACTTTTCAAATGGTGGATGGTAATTGTAAATTTCGACTCTAAATCTATCTGTATTTGCAGTCATTGCGGCCTCTTCAATCGTTCTAAGGTGTAATCCCGAGAAGGACGTAGATATTTATGTGGGACATGTCGAAAAGATCCCCCAATCGAGTATTAACCCACAAATGAGGTTTCTTAGCTTCGGTCTAAACGGCAGGAAAATTAAGCTTATCAATGATAATATAATGATTGTTTTGCGAGTTAACAGACCATCTGAAAGCCCATATAATTATTCAGTTCACCTCTCTCAAAAAAATTGTGAATTCACAAACCGCCTTAGAATGCAGCTTCACAAAACCTTTAAGATTATGGATTTACAAAATACCTTAATTAGGTAGTCTCTTTTAGGGGCGTTAATAATTCGCCGCGTTACTTAGGAATTCCTGGATAACCATCCACGGATTGTCTATGACTACATAATAAAAATTCAAAGTCTTTTTAATGGTCTAAAATTACATGTTTTACTAGGTCGTTGTTTTAAGAAAATCTTGTTAAACGGAAAATGTAGTTAAAATTTGGATATTAAGGCAATTATGTCTCCCATTTTAAAAATGAACAGCCGTCAAAACATTTTCAATGCTGTCTTCAAAAATGTCATCGAAATGTTTATTATATTTTAAAATTTTATTTCGCTGCAATTATTGCACGTGTATGTATTATTTATATAAACTTTTTATTTTAGAAAATATTTCAATCGAATATAAAATTTTAATCACGTTGTATTTTTTTAATGTTTCTCTTTGTTCTTTTTTTCGTCTTTTTTACATGTTGTTGTATAATGTTATAAATGTTATCAAACGAAACAAAAACAAAAATCCAACAAAAAATCAATCAAATGCTATTATATCTGTGTCCTGTATGCATCCTTTCGAACACATGCATAATCATGTATTCCATACACAATATCCACATACCTTTACATATATACCCATATATATCTATCTATTCACATGGACTACAATTTAATTTGATTGGATTTCCTCTTATATATGTCTGTGTGTTATTGGGTTCTTCGATGTTTGATGTTATTGCTGTTGCTGTCTACCACCATCCTCAAATATCGGGGAACTGTTTTTGTGGCACAAATTAAAACAAACTAATACAAATACACGATACACACATATTACCAATATGCATCTTACACCCCCACGAAATGATTGGCCAATATTCCCAACCTCAAAAACACAACATGACACACACACACACACACGCAAACATTGACAACATCATTGCCATAATGGCACGAACTTGCCACCTGTATTGTGAAACTAATCGAAAAAGGTCCCCACATTTCTCCAGATATCATAAATGCCCAGTATACGGTGGAAACATTGGTGATGGCTGTTTTAGCGGGTTCCATATTCTCGCTGTTAGTTGGCTTCTTTACAGGCTATTTCTGCGGTCGTCGCTGTCACAAGGATGAAGATGACAATCTACCGTATCCTGACACAGAATATGAATACTTTGAGCAAAGACAAAATGTTAACAGGTAAGAATTAGTGCTTCAAATCTTCGACACATCCATTTAACGGAACTTTATCTGTTTTTGTCGCTTTAGTAGAATACAAGCCGAACCGAAGCTGTTACCCCAAGTTGAAGAGGTAACCTACGCTGAACCGGTTTTGTTGCCACAACCACCACCAAAAATGCATTCGCCCAAGAGTACTTTACGCAAACCCATGCCACCCCATCATGGACCCAACTCAGAAACGTTCTTCCAATTCCAGCCAGATGGTTATAATACCCAACAATCATATCGTTGTCGTGATAATTTTGGTACTTTAAGATCTCATCAAGTAATGGTAAGTCAAGAAGTTCTGACACTTGCAACCATTCTAATCATTATTTTGCTCGTTTAGGGTGATAACTATCGCCGTGGTGATGGCTTTTCCACCACTCGCAGTGTCAAGAAGGTGAGTTTTATTTAAATACAATCACAATCGAGTTTTATTACATTGTCATGATGTCGTCACTAGGTGTATTTTTATATATTTTTTTTAATATAACTACAAATATACAAAATTATTATTTAAATAAATTACTTTCATTTGTTTCGTTTTTTTAATAACTAATTACTTAAGCCTGATCTTTGTCGTCGATTGGTGTATTATTTTTTAAACATAAGTCATGTGTCAATTTGTAGCTAGAATTGTTTGATGTCATATTCACGTATAATTGTCTTAACATAAAACTAACAACTACAAACAAAAAATAATAATAATTATAAATGTTTAATGTGTAGAATTTTAAAAATACTCAGCATGAAGTCTACTAATTTCTTTGCGAACAAGGGCTAACAAAATTTATTTATTTTAGTGGTATTCAAGAATAAATCTTTCTTCTATCTCTCTATTATTTGTTGTGCTATCGCCTACCACTTTCTTTACACTAAAGCTCCAAATTATGCTTTTCATTTACTAACCGAATAGAATTAAGTTGTTTTTCGCTAATTCAGCAGTTTTTAATTAACAATCATGAGTGATGTTTTGTAGCATATTTTAGCAAATAATGATGTTTTCATTTCGCAATAAATTGTGGTTCCTCGCCAGAAAGTTCACAAACTTTTGGATCCTTAAATAAATTAATTTTGTCATGTGTCCCTACATGGAGTTTCTCACTGGAACATACATCATACAATACGAATGAAAGTTTGAGTTTCAACTGCAAGATTAACGCATCAAAACTATGAAAAGTATTCTGAAGAAGACTTTCATACTAAATCCTCTTCTACAACTCTCTCCAGTTTTCATTTTCTTTCAATCAGTTGTTAATTTATAACTGTATTCATTTTTGATAAAAAATAATCATTTTCTTTTGAGGAATTACAGAGAAGTGATGAGATTTGCGTTCTTCTTTCAACTTCTCTCTCTCTCTCTTTTCTATTTGGTTGTTTAAATGTCTTTGTTATTACAAAGAGAGCAAAATGTAACAGTCTCTTTTCCAATGTTATGTCTGATATCAGCCCTGCTCAAAACCGTGTTCTAGAACATGATTTTGAGAAAATTTAAGAGAAAATTAAAATTATGTTTTTCTTTATAATTTAAAATTCCGTTTAATTGTTTTTAAACATGAATGTCTGCCAAAATAGTTTATAAAGCAAATCATTAAAAAATATTTGTAGAAATAATGACTTAACACTGTTTAGTTCTTGATTTAATTCAGCAAAGAGAAATTTGACTGGAAAGAGATATTTTTCTTGAGCAGCGCTGCTGATATACTATTAGCAAAAAAATCAATTTCAAATAATAGGTTTCCAAATCAATTTTATTGGAAGTCGTAACTATTTACGAATCAACCTACTAACTTATTATTTATATGAGGGCATGTTGCCCGAAATATAGTAATTAATTGTTGGCCATCAAAATTTAACAATAAGTAGAAAAACACATTTGTTTTATTTTTAGAATAAATGTTCCACATTTTACAACTATCCCTTTTTTCTTTGTCCGCTGCTGGTATTACGCCCACACCCTTGTGATTAGTACATAAATACAACACACACAGCGTCACAGCTACAAACATTATGGACTGTTTAAAACCTTATATCTTTATTAACAGGTCATTGTATTTTATTATGTGTAAAGTAAGTAAGTTTATCGACGCTTAGTTTCGAACTCAAAACTTTCTGTTTTGTAGTCGGACGCGCATTCTGTCAGCCGACATTACTCATTACTTGGTAATGGGAAAATAAGTGTGTTTGCTTTGTATCTTTCCAGAAGTAACAACTGGTTATACAGAAGGTAGTTTGTTTATATTACCTTTTAAGGGGTTATTCGGCACATCCTGCTAAGTCTCCTTTGTTTGACAAAAATATACGTGGAATAAAACTTTCGAATCATCATCTTTAAACTTGTTTGGTTGACTAGGCTTCTTCATGTCTTTTATGCTAAGATCACCCCTATTGGACTGAATGGCGCAATCAATATTATAGAGGGTTTTGTTTTGAGTTTTAACAATTATCTTTTTCATATGAAGAAAGACTATCTGACTTCCGCACAAAATATGATTTTTGGATAATTAATAATTCTACATTTTCCAAGTGCTTAAAATTTAGTGCTATTGCTGGATGTTGTTTGATAACTCAAAAGACCAATATATGGGAGCGAGTTGGGAAAATATATTTGGTAATTGATTTACTGAGAATTTGCATCTCTAGCTAAGAGTGTTATATTTGAATCACATAAATTATTTGCCAAATTGTCAATAACTCAAGTTGGGCCATTGCAAAACCATAGAGAATAGAATTAGACTCATTTACAAAATCGAATATGTCATTTTTTTAAACATTATATCTTTCGAAACCTCGGTATTCTCTGACTTACTCACTGGTACACATTATCAGTTACATTCTTTCTCCACTAATAAAAAATTTTGTTTTTATAAAAACAACAATAATGGAATTAAGCCTTACTATTATGCAACAATAAAACATTATCTTCATATCTAAAATATTTTCGACGATGAGTCACATATTTTACATAAATAATAAATAATCTTCTGTTTTCGGCGAACCTTCGCACGTAAAAACAGTTGTATATCCCATATTATAGGGGAACGAATTATAAACATCTTTTCTTAGGCTTACACATATAAAAATAGAGACTTTCAAGCTTTCAAAGAAACTTTCGACTGAAAATGCCGGATGACAATCATCTACCAGTATTATAGCAAAATAAGGCGCAATATTGCACCAGCTTCTGTAAAATGATGAATTGAAGCAAAATTCAACCATTCCATAATAAAGTCTTTCATTACATAGCGGTTTAATTTTTTTAGTTATATGGCTTAGTCAAAAATGACGAAATATTTGATCGGAAATAAATGAAGGAAGATTCCGATTTTGTTCAAAGTTAACTTGAGTTATGAAAATTGGCAATATAGAGCCACTCCTTATGGATTTCCATAAAAGGTCTACATTTTGAATAATCATGACTAAATTGACGACTTCCATCAAATTTTGAACATTCCAATTTTCTGTCAAAACGAGATCTAGATAGTTGACGGATCATATTGGGGCACTCCTCTTGCAGGTATCCTCAAAACCATTTTGAAATAATAGTTTTAATTGCATTTTTTAAAATTTTAATATTTTTGTCAGATTGAGGTTTTGTGCGAAAGTCAACAATATCGACCCACTCCTTCTGCAACAACTTGTTCACAGATTTCATCAAACCTTGGACATTATAATATTTTTAACAAAATTACATCAAGAGTGAGAATCTCTCTATTTAAGTCTCTTTAACGAAAATTCAACAATTTGAAAAAGAGCAATACTCGTATATGTTATAATTGAGAAATCAGTTAAATTTGTTCAAACTTCGCACATTCCAATATTTCTTTTATTCTTTTATTTATTTAAAAATGCTATATGTCGATCCACATCTTCTGGTGTCTTCTTCACAAATGTCCCAAACCCAAAAAATTTTGTAATATATCTGGTGTAAGGATATATCCTATATCTATTGCTTCTTCAAGTTCTGACTCAACAAACGGTCACAATTTTGAAAAAGCTTAAGGTGTATACAGGGTGAGATAAAAAAAACTACAACAAAGTAAAACGCCATAATTTTTACTGACCTATTTGGCAGATAAACACGATCATTTTATTTGTTTACAAACTGCTGGACAACGAATGTTTTCTTATCAAAAAAACCAAATTCGACAGTTCACCACTTTCGGCCAAGCGAAGCGACTCTTTAGCTCTTTTGAGTCTATTTTCTTTCTGTTGCGGTGTAAGTTCTTGCACTTTTTAGAATTTCAATGGCTCATTTTTCAATATTTGCCGAATGGAATATTGCGATATGTTCAGCTCACGAGCCATTTTTCGGCCACTGTGACGCGGGTTTCGATCAAATCGCTTCTTTACTTTTCGAACAATTCCTGCTGATGTTGCTGTTTTCTTCCGTCCACTTCCTTGACGTCGGACTACGATACCAGTATCACGGTAATGAGCGATGGTACGAAACACAAAAGATTTATTCACATTTAAATGCTGGATTGCTCTAACGATAGCCACTTGTGGTTTTCCAGCCAAATATAAAGAAATCACACTATCACGCTTGAATTCCATCACCAATAACATTTTTTCTGGAAAATTCTCACCAAATGGCTTTGTACGCTTGTAAACAATATAATGAGCTGTCTCTGGAATAATTTTAAGAGCTGTCGGAGGAGTGACTTAGAAATGACAACAGTCTGAAGTTGATTGAAGTTTTTTCATCTCACCCTGTATATCTCTTCAACAAAATTCTTTTTTTTTTTTCACCGCTAAGAAAAGGGAAACTGTTTCGCTAATTTGGAATCAATGTTTGAGTATAGTATATTTGCAAGGAGGTGGGTTAATCTAATGTACGCAATGTGCTAATAATTATCTTATGTGTAAATTGTATATATTTGTGTGTTTATGTGGGACTGGTTTCCAAAACGAATAAAAAAAGAAACTGTAAAAAACCTATGTAAATAAATTTTCTCCTATTCTTCTGAAATTCAAATATATTCTTTTATTAACAACAAGTATTGTTTTCACGAGATAACCATAAAATACACCAATCGAATGCAAAAAAAGAGAGTCAGTGAGAAATTTTAATAATTCAAAAAAGCGTTTTCATTTGTTTTGTCAAAATTAATTTTTAATTATTATTGTTTTATTTTTCCTAATTGTTTTTGGTTACACACACGATAGCATACGAAGCAGAACAACAACAACTCTATACTATCTTCTACTTTTTTCTTACCTGTTTTCCTTTCTCTTCCCCATTAGGTTTACCTTTGAGACGGGAGTGGGGCGGCTGAAACCAGTCAGGGATTAATTACCCAAAATATGGTAAATAAAAGTTGTTTTTGTTTCTGGCTTCAACCTTTTTTGTTTCAGTTATTGTTATAATTAATAATTCATTATGGTTTTAATCGTTTA